ACCAACCTAAGCGATCCAAAGGACACCTATGGTAACCAGCCGCGTCCTTGCCGTTGCTTCTGTTGCAGTGGTTCCACCAAGAGGACCCCCCAAAACACCAACCTAAAAAGGACACCTATGCATGTTACTACTGTGGATGGTTGCGAAATCCATTTCACATCACTTTGAAACCATGGTTGAAACCATTCTTTGTTGGTAAGTACCGGGGAATCGAATCATTTTATGGTTATGAGGATTTCGTCCACTGTATGACTGACCCGGTTTCCCTCCGCTTCCTTGGTGTTTCGCTCCTCTCACTTGCCCAAAAGACCTGGAAACAGGTTCACCTGTTGGGAGCTTTGCTAAAAATGGTGGCCAAAATGGTTGAACACCACCAGTGGTCAGGTCAAAAGGTCGATTCGCTTTGGCTGCAAATCATTTGTCCTCACGCGCGTCACGCAGCACTCCGCAAAAAGTGACGGCAAGGGGCGGTAGTTCTGCAGGATGTACTGGCCGAACGGGAAGAAGGGCTCCAGAAACTCCATCACGCCTTGCCCGCGGCCCCTCGTGTTTTTGGGGTCTGCTCCCTCGGCCAGCCAAATTGGGAATTGAAGGGGGGGGGTTGTCCTTTTGGCTTCCCTTGAAAAAGGGACCCCCAAAAGAAAGACAACCAAATTGGAGTAAGGTGGCATACCTTCAAAACCACTAAAAAGAGGGGACCGCCCTCCAAATTGGTGTGTGTGTGTGTGTGTTTCCTTTTGGCCTCGCTTCCAAACCACTACAAAACAAGGGACCCCCAACAAAAAGACATCTGGTTGACCCCCAACAAAAGACATCTGGGTATGCCGTGGCCTCCCTTCAAAACCACAAAAAACAACGAGGGAGCCCCAAAAAATAGACAACCCCATCTGGTTCACTCCCTAACACTTCGCTGCCGTGTTCCTTTTGTGCCCGTAAACCAGCCTGAGATTAGGGGCCTTTCCGAGCCTCACAGAAAGGGTTTCCGTTGGAAGCATCGCCTGGCAGCGTCAGCCGGTTCTCCCTCGCTCTCTTCTTGACTCAGATGCCCAGTGGATTTCTATGGGACCGAAAGGGCGTCTGATTGTTTTTGGGTTGGTCGAGTTTAACGGGGAGCGCTTCCCCAAAAAAGAAACACACGGCGCCACTGGGCAACTGGGTTGAGCAAGTCTCGCATCGCTTCCTGAGTTGGTTTTGCTTGAAAAGGTGCAACCAACTTGTTGTTGTTTAACACTAGCAAAGATGGTCTTCTTAAAAGGAAAGTCGATGAACTGGGGAGTGAGAAATCCACCTGGTTGGTTGAGCCAGTTTCTGCTGAGAACGCACCAAGCAAAGGGATTTAGAACCTGGAATGGGTTTCTTAGAGCTGTAACTCCCTGATTCAGGTTCAAAAATTGTCGCTCTGTCGCATCTTCAACCCCCGAAGTCGCATGATTTTGGACAGGGATTTCGAGCATGTGCTTTTTGTTCAGCAGTCGTTGAAGGTGCTGGCCCAATTATGGACTCAGCTAAAAAGCCGCGATCTCAAAGTTTGGCCTCAGTTTCCCAGTCTTGAAAACGCAGATTGATCTGAGGTTCTTTGGGTTGATGTTCTGAAGGCTTTCAACCGTTTTTCCCAACCCCTTCGAACAACCACGGCAGTTGAACCAACGAGTTCAACCCGAGCGTCTGCGTTGGGATTTCTACAACCCGAGACTTCCTATTCCCTCCACCCAAAACGCCATGGTGTCCTTCAAATCAGCCTAAGTGGTAGAAAACAAAAGAGAAACCGTTGGCGACTGTGGTGTGTGTGTGTGTGTGGTGGGGTGGGCTTGTTCTAGACATTTTTCGAATGCTTCTGCTATGGTCAACCACCCAAAGTCGAACCACCCAAGATGGCCATACAGGTTTATGTCAGCCTCACTACCCTGATTAACCTTTGTAAAACCTGCCTAATTGCGGAGGATGGTTTGGGCGATGGTTCATTGACCTCCATTTGCTTAGGTCCCCTGGGAAAAAAGTACTTCCAGTAGTGAAATCGATTCCCTTTAAAACCAACAGGGGAAAATAACAACTATTCTTAACCCAATGGAAGTGATTCATCGAGACCCAAAAACAGGCGCCGTGAAGCTCCGTTCGCATGCGAGCGAGGGCGCTGGCGGGATCCTCAGATTTCACGCCGTACTTCTCGAGGCAGGCGCCCAGCCTCGTTTTCAATTCGAGCGGGGCAAACCCCTTTCGCTGGTTTTGTAGCTTGCGGTTTGTCGTTTTTGAGGGTGCATGTTTGTGCGTGTTCAAAGGGAAACCAAAAAGGAAATCCGGCCCAGCTTTAGTGACTTGCGTTGTGTTTTCTGCAGGGGTACTTTCTGGCGGGTTGTCAAAGGGACACCGAAAAGGACATCCTGGTCTGTTCTTCTTAGAACTCTTTGCTTTTGCCCTTTAAGTATTTGTGTACTGGGTTGAGGGTGCGTCCACGAAAGCCACATTTTGCTGAGATATGTATATGGACATCAGTCAAGTTCACCGAGTCTCCAATGCAATCGGCGGTCGAAACCGAGCCAGGGAGCCTCGATTTGGTCCCAGTGGCGCTGGCAGCAAAGGGCCCAACTCTACCACATATTCACTCAGATGCCCAGTGGCCAGATGCCATTTTTTGGTTGGTTGAGTTTAAAGGGGAACCCTTCCCAAAGGAACAAAGGGCGCCACTGGGCAACTGGGATGATTCCGGCTATTGGCGTGTGTTCACTTGCAACGCAAGTGGACATGCACACATAGCAGATCACAAAACTGGGCGGCAATGACAGGATGTGGCGGCCAACTGGTGAGCCAAGGATAGAAAATTGATTAGTGAAAGGGACCGTTTTGAGTTCAGGTTGCCACAATGGCATGTGTTCATAGGATGCACCCCCCCCACCGACCGCTGAATGAAAAGGCCTAAGGCTCTCATAAGGCTTTTGGTTCTACCAACATGGCTGCAAAGGACCACAAAAGCTTTCCTATAACTCTCCTGAGCCTCATGATTCCAGGCAGTAGGGCCACCAACTCAAACGAAGAAAGACTTTGGGCGAAAACATGAAATGCCTCTTACTCCCATCCCTTGCGCCGAGCTGCTTCTGATCAAAAAAGTCCTTGGAGACCCCCCCCCATCCCACGAGAAGCAAACTTCGAAGCTGTCAACTGACCCAGTGGATTTCTATGAGAAAAGACCAGACCTTTCGTGGGTGCTTGATCTTCAAGGGAGCCCCCCCGCGAAAATCCAACCGCAAGGTGCAAGCTCCGCGGGAGCTTTTGGGACTGTTCACACGCGGATTCGCACTGGCAAGTAGTCCAAGACACCCGTGTTGTTTTGGAATCGGATGGTTTCACGTGGACATGCTGAGCCCCTTTTGCACGTGATCGGCTAGAAGAGAGTGAAGAGTCAAAGCAACCAGCGCTTAGGCCCTTAGGCAAGCCGTGGTCACCAGCCATTGGTTACCAGGCGCAGAACGGAGTGCAAATTGCAAATCCCTTGTGTTTTTGTTGGGCTGGTTGGGCCAAACAAGCACCTGAGCACCGTTGTTGAACCAGTTTGGAATACCTCCTAAAGGAAGTCTGAACTTCTACTAGACCATGCATGTTTTCGCAATTGTAGTCTAAAAAGGATAACAGGCTTCTTATATGCACAAATTGGAAACAATGAATCCCCAAGTTAAAGGATTCTGCAAAATGTGCAACAATTCCAAACCCTGAAATAAAGGATCCCCAAGTAACGGATCTTTACCGTGGTGAGCTCGTGTTACCCCCAGGGCTCCCCCAAAAATAATCTGAGTTGGCAGAGCTCGTTAGGTCCTCCAGTAGAGAGGTTAGAATAAGGGTAACCTTTTTTTGTAGTCTATTTCAATAGGGGGTTCCTCCTCCCAACCAAAAACGGGGTGAGAAAGGGCACCAATCGCTGGGGGGCCTAGTTGACGATGTCAGCCAAGTCGCCCAGCGCCCTGCCAGCTTCGGCAAGAACTGCAGGAATGTCTTGCCTGGGCCGGCGGCTTCTTGACGTTGGATTTTCCATGGCCGCTGAAGGACGAAATCCTGCACCTGTTGGAGTGGATGAAACCCTAAAACTACTGGGATCAACGAGGATCATCTATCTACCTGCTGCAGGATTTTGTCCATCCACAGTAGTTCAGACATTCAATTCAGTTGCAACCAGTAACCGTGGAGTGACCCGAGCAGAACACCCATTGGGAACCCATTGTTTGGCTGCTCCCTGTAGGTGCATAGCTCATAGACAATTCCCCGCTGGCCCTGCTAGAAAACGTATTGGAACGCTTCTTGAAAGAAATGAACATGGTTCGTACTGGACAAAATCCCGTCAGATAGGTGGTTTGCCCCATGTGTCATCCAGGATGTCCTGCAGGGACCCCAGCAAAAGAAAAATGGAAATGACCTGGAAAAAGTGACTTCAAGTTGCACAAGCGTGGTTGGTCTTCTCGACAACCCCAAAACTGCGCCGAACCCTCCCTGAAAGCTGCCCCAAACTATCCCAGCGCCTGTCTGGGCAAAGAACCCCCTAGTTGGGGAGAAAAGAAAGGCGATTGGGGCGTTGTTTGCGGGCGGCAATCACTCCACAACTTGGCCCGGAGCTGACTTTGCCTATCAAACCCATAGGACCCCAGCTGGGCACTTAAAGTACGAGTAGATCGAAGATTTAGCACTGCAAGGGTCCAAATAATGTGAATGGGTTTGTGAAAACAACTTCACTGATTACATGCGTGCATTTGGCCCTCTTGGCTCACGTCTATGTTCAGATTCTGGCTCGACAGTTTAGCCCACCTGCTACTGTTGGAGGATTCTGTTTCACGGTTGGTCAAGCCCATGAAACGTTTTGAGCAGACCCTTGGTTGACGTTGGAAGGGGAGCAACAATTTAAATTTTAGCAGTTCAGTGGATTTGGATTTCCACCACTCAACCACAATGAGCAAAAATGTAAAATGTCTCCCAACAACAACCAGCTTCAAGGTGCCCTAGGCTTGGGGAGTTTCAGGGAACTAGACCTTGGAGCCTTGGACAACCTCCCCTCAAGAAACGCTTTCAGAAAGCCCCAGCGACTTTTTTCGGATTGATACGGCTCAAAGGCAGATCCCAGCAGCGCATGGTGAGATACTCCACGGTCCAGTCCTCGAAGTGGTGGTCGAAGCTGATCGCCTGCGGTATAATCGCTTCTCGCACCACCTTGAAACCATGGTTGAAACCATGGTTGAAACCATGGTTGAAACCATTGTTTCTTGGTACCTGGAGTCTCCACGACCCTTTAAAAATGGGTCCTTGACCCCTTTATTTTGGGTATTGACCAAACATTTTTGAAGGGTCATGGAGACTCCAGGTATTTACATGGGAATCATCATTCCAGGTGCGAAATGGATATCGTCCACAGTAGCACCTCTGGGAGGCTGCCCGGAAGATCAACTGGTTTTCTCTTAAAGGAACCTGAGATTACTATCTTAGTGGGAGGGAGGGTAACTGTTTGTGAGTCCGATGGAAAGTCCATCATGTCCCAAAAAGTTGAGTCCAAGAATTCAACCAAATAGCTATACAGAATAGTTCCCAATCTTTCCCCATGCTTCCCCAGTTAACACCAAGCCCCCCCCCCCGCCAAAAACAGAACGAGGGATACCCTCCATCAAAACACAACCCCTTTTCCCTGGTTTCACCTTGATCCTCCTCAGTTGGTTGGGGTGTTTTGGTTGGGCCCCATGAGAGGAGGCCCTCGGCCAAAGGAGGCAACCGGAAAGGAGAGCAAACCCCGAATGAGTGGATGAGTCACAAAAGCGTCCAAACTCTTCATCAAAATGGCAAAGCCCAAGAATTTTGACGTCCAGGAACTCCGGAAGTGAGAAAATGGAAGCCAAAAGGATGTTCAACAACTAGCGGCTTAAACCGATCAAGTTGGGTGCGGGCAACTAAACCAGACAGGTGAGGGTCAGCTTCGGCTTGTGGACCGTGGGGTGCAGGGCACGCGGCAGGGGCTCTCGGGTCGAAACGGGGTGGGGGTTGGGGGGAAACACGGGACACACACACACACACACACACACACGCACAGCATTTACCTCCCAAAAGCCAACAGGGGTTTCACTCTCTGGAAGACCATCTTCCCTTTTAAGAGACCCCTGTGCAGGTTCCAGGGTTGTTCTTGGGAGACTATATGCTATAATATGAGTTTTGATTGCTTCAATTTCTGATCGCGGCGCAGTGCCCCCCCGCCTGGCCGTCAACGGTGCGCCTGGTCTTCATTGCTCTCTTGAACCAGGCCGCGTCAGCCTTGAGGGATGGAAGTAAGAGATCTAAGAGAGCTAGGAGCCTTGATTGGTCGCTGCCAAACAAATATTCCCACCTTTGCTTTGGGACTCACCACAAATGACCCTAGAATCCGAACCGTACTGAATTGGAGCCCACTCGCAATGACCTGACCAAGTTTGTGGCCAAGACCATCGTGAAGCTGTGCAGCTGTTCTGCTTCGAGGGACCTTCTGCGGATGGTGTTCGGGCATAAAATCATCGGAAGCCGCCTAGTTTCAGTGGGGCTGACAGTGGAAGCACCCGTGTTACTGAGGGGGATCATTCGCTATTCTTCAGAGGTCTTCATTCTCCTGGCGCATTCTTTAGTTGGTTGTAGAGCGGTAGTGTGTCTCAAGGGCGGGAAACAAAAGGCCCAGCAAGAACCTGAGAAGTAGCAACCGTGGTGAGGTACTGATACCACCAGGCTGTTCCGGGTTGGCGGGGTAAAGGTTCCCGGGCATGTTGGGTCAACCTGAGCCCGCCTGAAATTCAACGGAAAAGTATGCGTATATGTATATACACGTACACATGTGTGTACAATACGTGTGTGTGTGCATATGTATGTATGTATGTCTGTATGTATGTATCTATGTATGTATGTATGTACGTAAGTATGTATGTATGTATGTATGCATGTATGTACGTAAGTATGTATGTATGTACGTACGTATGTATGTATGTATGTCTGTATGTATGTATGTATGTATGTCTGTATGTATGTATGTGTGTGTGTGCGCATGCATGCATGTCTGCATGTCTGCATGTCTGTCTGTCTGTCTGTCTGTCTGTCTGTCTGTCTGTCTGTCTGTCTGTCTGTCTGTCTGTCTGTCTGTCTGTCTGTCTGTCTGTCTGTCTGTCTGTATGTATGTATGTATGTATGTATGTATGTATGTGTGTATGTATGTACGTATGTACGTATGCACGTATGCATGCATGTCTGCATGCATGTATGTATGTATGCATGTATGTATGTTTGTATGCATGTGTGTATGTATGTATGTATGCATGCATGCATGTATGCTGTATGGAGGGATGGATGGATGCACGTATGTCCTGTCCGTCCGTCCGTCCGGATGGATGGATGAATTGTATCTGCTACGTGTGTATGTGTGTGTACATGTGTGTATGCATGCAAGCATGCTGGTTTGCGCCATAGTCACAACACCCTACGTCAGTGACTCCGGAACCCTTGTAACCGTTTAACACCCGCGTGGAGGGTTCATGACCAGCCCTTGCAAGCCCCAGTGCAGGTGTGGTTTGCGTGTGCGTGTGTCTGTGTCTGTGTCTGCGTGTGTTTCTTTAAGGGGAACCTTCTCAGCTTGCCTCAAGGGGAAGTGAAAGGAAAACCATAATTCTGGGGAGAAGTCAAAGGAAAATCAGAATTATGGGTCGCATTTTTTGGGTCGATACCCTTTTTGACCTTGGCATAGAGCTCTGTGCATTTGAGCAGCCGCCAGCTTCTTCATTTGCCTTTCCGCCATAAAGAGGCTGCTGCCAACGATCACGAAGTACAGCATGAAGGTGATGAAGAGGTGTCTCGGCTCAACTTGACTACGAGGGCCAATAAACAGGGAGAACCCCTTCTAAAGGCGTGAAAGGCCCAAAATGGTGTTGTTTTCGTTTCTTCGTTTTTTTTTTTTTTTTTTTTTTTTATGTCTTATCAGGGCATTTGTATTTATGGGTATAACGGACCTGTTGCCAGCAGGATGCAAAAATCAAAGCCCGGGCCATCTTTGCCAAGGACACACCTCATGGACCCCGAAAAATATCTCACTTGAATTTTGCCTTGGGAGACACACTCCCTGACCAAGGCCGGAAATCGCTTGGGTGACCGACCCGGGTGGATGAGCCTTATGACAAAAACAAATGATCGGGAAGGGTGCTTTGGGGGGAACGAAGAGAGGATCAATGATAATCGCAAGTCGCCTTTGTGTTGGGGCGAAACTTCGCATCTACGTATTTATGAAGTTAACTCCCAATTGTGATCAAACATCGTTCTGGTCCTTGTCTCCTTAAAACGGGGTCAGAGTTGTACCACCAGTCGCTTTCTCAGGTTGTTGGTTTTCTGGGCAGAAGAGCTTCTATCCACTTTTTCACCAGAAGCGTCTGTTGTGTATGATCGTGCCTTTTTTGGGGGGCTTTTAAATGGAGGTCCTCTCAGATCCATGACCTCTCATTACTAGCCTTGGGACCTTCACCCAATGTAGGGCTACAAAGTGAGCTTGTGCCGCCATTCCGCAAAAGAATTAAAATCCAAAGGTTACCCAAGGGGGCGGGAAAAGCCTGTCAGATGCGGAAGGGTAACCCTATACGTGTCAAAAAGGGACCCAAAATGACTGTCTTCCTGTTGGCTTCCTTGTACGTAGTCTAGTCCCTCAAGAAGGGTACCCTCAAAAAAGCACAGCCTTTGTGGGCTTAATGATTGGACAGGTAACGCGAAGGGAAGACCGGATCCAACCGGGGCAGGAGCTTGTGCACCCATTTGCCGTAAAACTGGATGCTCAACGTATGCAAACTAAAACAGCTGGGTGCTTGGAGTCCAGTAAGCCTCCATTTGCTTAAGTCCCCTGGGGAAAATAGAATAATTCCAGTAGTGATAGATTCCGTTTAAAAGCCCACAGGGGAAAGTAAAAAATATTGTTAACCAAATGGAAGTAAGCGCACTTTATCATTAAACATGGTGCTGTGAGGATGCTTCAAAAACCAAATCGAGTCATGCACATACCGTGGATGGACCAAAAAATCCTTGACTTTGAAACCACGGTTTTGTCCCCGTTCGGTTTCTGAAGGATGGCTCAGTCATGCCCATTGTCCCCCCTTGGAAAAACTGCAGCCTGCGCAGCCCAGAACTCCTAGGAGCGGCCCCTTGAACCGAAAAGGCGCCAGTTTACCCCCCACTTCTGTGACTGGGAAGGAGAAGTGGAAGCGTTTTTGGGGTTTGAAGGGTGCCACTGAACAACTGGGTGCTGGGCCCTTTTCTTTTGGCCATCTCAGTTGTCCACGAAAAGGGTGGTTTGGTGGAGGTGTTCCGGGGTGGTGTCACACTTGCCCTCAAGACCCAGCAGTGAAAAAAACTACCTGATTCCATTGAAGGTGTATGCTTCACAAGTTTTCGGAAAAACCTCAGCACATCGCATATCATAACTTCTTGCCAGGGTTGTGGGAAATGACCACTGTGATACAACAAAAAGGGCTTCCCAAAGACTAACACCCCATAAGGGGGAGATTCCCTTTCACAGAAGTGGGAAGAAACCCCTTGATTCCACACCCCTGCTTCTTGCTGCGGGGCATATGCGTATTCTCCACCACATGATGGTACTCCGATCCGCTGTCTGGCAGGGCCAGGTCCAAAGTCCCGTCGAAGTGCTCGAAGCAAGTGTCAAACAAGTGACACCTCTCACAGATCCACACGAGGAATGCCTCGGATGAGTCAGCTAACCAGCTGGTGGTTTGGTTTGGATGGATTTGAACCCCTGGTTCTTGTGGGATGGGACACTCCCGGAACACATGAAAAGCACGAATCCAAAACCACCAATTTCAGGGAAGCTGAATGAGTCCATGAAGTGGATTGTCAGCCCCATATATCACCCTCAAACAACCGTCACATAGAACGCGTGAATGGGTGTGACATTTTAACTGGGGACCCCCTTGCTAGACATCGTTTATCACGGGGAAGCTGTGTCCATCCACCACTTGTGGTTGCTGGTCCAATCCTTAAGATTCGTGGCCACGCGCCGTGCGCCACATGTTTGGACAAAAGGAAACAACCCCACAATTTGAGGTCTGTTGGCTCATATTTTGCATACATACAAATACTCATATTGAAATATGCAAACACGGTGACAGGGGATCCGCATTGAGAACAAGGCTGTACAAAAGACATCTATCACCCTCGATACGCGTAGAAGTCATAGAAAGCACTTGCCCTCCTGTACACTAACATGGAACCCACCGGAAGGTACCTTTACAAGGAAAGTCGTCTTCCGGTCGGTCAGGCTCCATGTTAGTGGACAGGCCAAATTTGCTGGCGGTTGCTTGGTTCCAAGATGCCAAGATCCCCAGCACAGTTAACTCTTCAGTGGCATGGTTCAGCAGCATCTGGGGCATGGGCACGTGCTCGTTTTTGGCCTCATGCGCCAGCACCTCCTGGATCGATCGCGAAAGCTTTCCACGATTTGGGCCCGCAGGTCGAACAAAAATAGGATCCGCCCCATGGCTTTTCAGGGACCCAAAAATCCGACCAATCAGAGGGGCTCGGCGAGTTCCTTCTTCTCCGGTCCAAACCCTTTCTGTTCATTTTAACTAGGTGGAACTTGCAGTTCGGCCCAAGATTCCGCCTCACTTATTTGGGTGTGGCCGGTTTCAAGGAGAAACAACGGGAAACGCCATCCGGTTGTGATTCTCGGCTTGAGAGTTCTCCGTTTGGAGAACGGAGCCCGATTTCATGAACCGACTGATGCTTGCAAAACACCCCACTGCCAATTCTGTGTTCACTGGACTTGCCGCAAAGGCCTGCCACACAAAGGGATCCAATCAAACAAATCCCCTTGGCTTCTTTGTCAGGGGCCAACGGACTTGGAGTCACCATGGCCCCTTGAAATTCCATTGGCTGGACACCTGGCGAAGAGTCACGGCATTTGATCTGAAGAGGCAGACGTTGCGCTCCATCCGAGTCTTAAGAACACCGCGCATGTGCCCTTGCGCTTCCTTCCCGGTTCCATTCCGAATCCCTGGCCTTGGAATTGGCATTGCCAAAAGGCCTTGGTGGACTCTCTTGCTTGACGTTGGAAGGGGAGCAAACATTCAAATTTTAGCAGTTAAGTGGGGATTTCCCACTAAGTCACAATAAGCAAAATGTAGAATGTTTACCAAAGACAACCATGCTATGTCGGGAACGAACAGCCCAGCCCGTTTTGCAGGCAATGACACAAAAGCAACGTCTGACCAATCGGTCTCCTGGTGAACGTCGCTGTAGTCCTGAGATCAAGTCGCCTCTCTGGCCATCTGAAGCTTCAATTCGATATCCCAAGAACCTTTGACCCTCTCCAGGCAGGGGATTGAAATGTGCTAAGTCAAGAAGCCCCGACCTTCGAACTCAGGAAATGTCTGCGAGACTCCCTTCGATCGAACTCAAATTCCAGTTCAGCTACGAGGGCATAAGCACATACGAATTCCGACGCTTCCAATGCGCACATCACTACTTGCCGCTGACTCCCATGCCTTGACCATCCAAAGACTGCGGCTTGTTCGGAGTTGCCTGGCTTGCGGATTTTTGCTTGAAGCTCGCGAGCACGTGCGGGAGTCATACGGGCAAAAAATGGTAAAGTGTCCCGCACCGCGCAGACAAGGGCGGCGAGCATTGCAAAAGTGCATTCTACTAGAAGCTTGTCTTATTGTGTTGTAATTATATGGGTGTGTCAATTTCCCAAATTTCCAGTCAAACGCGGAGGATTCACCCAGGTAGGAGGATACAATATATATATATGCATATACCTGGACCCTCCAACTACCCTTAAAAATTGGATTTCACCCCATATTTTTTGGGCTGTGACACATTTTGAAGCTGGAAATTCGAGGGTCCAGGTATATATTCACTTCATGCCAGGTTGCCGTGGCGTGGCTCACGAAGTGATCGAGCCTGTGCTGCAGAATGTCTGTCAACCTCAGCCGTGCCCTGATTTCGCACTTCCGCACGAGTGGATAAGTCCAGGAACTCAGGGAGTGAGACAGTGAGTTCGGCTGGAATTCTTCTGGACGGCCCGGCTCCCGGCTCTCGGATGCTTGGGACACGGTTTTCTACGCGTCTTGGGGAGGGTAGACTCCTTACACAAACGAAGATCTAAGCAGCAACAAAAAGGAGCCCGGTCCGGCAAAACAACTCAAGACAACTAGTTGAAGAAAACTAAGCGTCAACAGAGTGATAGTCAACAGCTGGAATAATAGTGGATTGCCCAAAGTCCTGCAAATCATTGAAAAGGCGGCCGCACCTATTTACGGTTGGGATTGTCCTTCTAACTGCGCACTTCGGGAGTTGATTGCGGCAAATTTGGCCAACGTGCGAGCTCAAGAAACCACCCCCTAATTCCGCAACTTTTCAAACTTAAGATCTCTCATACGTCAAGCCCAAGAGGCCGCCCCCTCCAAACCGTAACTTTATCTTGGTTCTTGACGAGCTCAATCACAGCCGGGCCTCGAGAAAACCAGCCAAGGTGGCAAGTTTCGGTTGATACATGGAAAGAATGCAAAAAGGACAGATCGGCAGTTCTTTAGGCGCTGGAACGACCGTTAAACAAAAAACAACGATTTACAAAAAAAACAATGCTGGTGCGGAACATTGGTTTCTCTCAAAAGACGTTTGACCCCCGCAACAAATGGATGCGGCTTCCTTTTGCCGAAAAAGCGGCCAAGAACACCAAGCAAATAACCTCGGTTGCTTTCTGCCCCCCTGCTAAAAGTTTAGCTGGTGGTTTAATGGAAAAGCCATATATAGTTGGCAAAAAGTTAAATTCCTAACATCCAAGCAACACGCACCAAAGTAACCCTTTGCCTACAACAACAACAAAAAACACCGAGCGGTACTTACACCCCTCGACGATTTCGTTGCGATCAAGTTCTTCCACTGGGCTTCCGGGCAAGGTGACTACCAGCAGCGCTACGACCACCACCTCCTCGAAGTGGTTCACTTCCTCACTCCGACGGAAGCGCCCGCGGTGTTTCTAGGGGTTGATTCCCCAGTCTTTTCAACCATCGTTC